TTTGTGGGATGGAGTCTCGCTCTGTCACCCAGGCTGGAGTGCAGTGGTGCGATGTTGGCTCATGACAACCTCTGCCTCCTGGGTTCAACCGATTCTCCTGCCTCAGCCTCTGGAGTAGCTGGGACTAGGGCAGGTGCGTGCCACCATGCCTGGCTAAGTTTTGTATTTTTAGTAGAGACGGGGTTTCACTATGTTGGCTATGCTGGTCTCAAACTCCTGACCTCATGATCTGCCTGCTTTGGCCTCCCAGAGTGCTGGGATTACAGGCGTGAGCCACTGTGCCTGGCCAGAGGTGAATGTAATTTTTAAATTTTTGGTGCTGCATGATGATTATATTTGGGACATTTGACCAATTCAGTAGAACAATATTTTCTAATTGATGCATGACCTTCAAAATCATACATAGGTAAAAGATGTATTCAACATTGCAAAACTGATAGATTTTAATGTAACAGTATGAAAAGTTCATTGATAGGGTTAAAGATTTCACGTTGCAGTAAACTTTTAAGAAACTACCACTTGTTGAGTTTTTTAATTTTAAATTTATTTTTATTTTTTGAGATGGAGTCTCGCACCGTCACCAGGCTAGAGTGTGATCTCGGCTCACTGCAACCTCTGCTTCCTGGGTTTAAGCGATTCTCCTGCCTCAGCCTCCTGAGCAGCTGGGACTACAGGCATGTACCACCATGCCCAGCTTATTTTTTGCATTTTTGGTGGGGATGGGATTTTGCCATGCTTGCCAGGCTGGTCTTGAACTCTTGGCCTCAAGTGATCCACCCACCTTGGCCTCCCAAAGTGCTGGGATTACAGGTGTGAGTTGCTTTCCTGGCTCACAGACTAACTTTTCTTAAGAGCTACTCCAGATAGGACAGTGTGGTTGAAGGAATCAGTTTCTGGATGGTACCAGCATGTAGTGCAGAGTCATCTGTAATCCAGGCTCATATTTGTTTTTCTCTCAGTTAGCAAATAAAGGACCCCCTGTGTAGTTATAGGCCTGGTTTGAGGAAGAAATAGCATTGCGTCAGGAATAGGTACACCGAGAATGTGAGCTCTCTGCTCATGCTTCACAACCAGCCTGATTACTGTCTTGTATATAACATTAATGCATGATGACGGGGTGAGTGTTAGTTCCTTCTCATGTTGTCATAGAGACATACCTAAAACTGCGTAATTTAGAAAGAAAAGAGACTTAATCGGCTCGTGGTTCTGCAGACTTTACAGGCTTCTGCTTCTGGGGAGGCCTCAGGAAACTTAAAATCATAGCATGAAGCAGGCAGGGTCTTCAGGAGAGAGCGAGCGAAGGGGGAGGTGCTGCATACTCTGAAACAAACCAGATCTTGTGAGAACTCATTCCCTATGGGAAAGTCTGTCACCTCCGTCCAGGCCCCTCCTCCAACGTTGAGGATTGCAGTTGGAGATCAGTTTGGGTGGGGACACAGCCAAACCATGTTCAGGTTGCTTCTATCACTTTAACTTGGTGGATCGGATGATGGTAATTCCTGATGTGCTGCTGTGGCTTGATCTTTATTCTCTACTAGTACTTCAAAAAATACAAGAACTTTTTTCAGCAGACAGTCTTGGTTTAAAAAAGGCTGGCTTTCCTAGGAGTCTCTGCTGTGATTGTTCTGGAGAGGTTTGCCAGTGGCTTCTTATAGCCTTGACCTTTTGACACTTGGAGCGTGATTCCAGTTTTAGAGTCATCACGTCAAGTGACAGAGCTAGTTGTACTGTACTGTAACTTGGATTGGCTGGAGAATTTTCTCTTCCTCTGGGCCCTACTTTATAGGATATTAGATCACTCAGTGAATAGAACAGAGCAGCACACACAGATTGGTATATGTTCTTTCCAATTTCCAAAAAGCCCTAGCAAGCTTTTTGCTTCTTTCTTAGTTGTAGGACATAAAGGTATAGTGATTGTCTTTCACTTTGTCTTTTTTTTTTTTTTTTTTTTTTGAGATAGTCTCATTTTGTTGCTGGAGTGCATTGGTGATATCTTGGCTCACTGATCTGCCAGGCTCAGGTGATCCTCCCGCCTCTGTGCACCCCCATGGCCTCCCCTGTGTCCCCCCCGCCACCGAGTAGCTGGGACCACAGGTGTGCACTACCACACCTGGCCTTTTTTGTTTGCTTTTTGTAGCGAGGGGCTCTCGCTTTGTTGCCCAGGCTGGTCTCGAACTCCTGGCTGCAGCAGTATGTGGCTCACATTGTTGCTGGGAGAATGAAGCACTTTCCCTGCAACTCTATTGGGAGAGGACAGCTAGAAGCTCAAATCTGGTCTCTGCTAGATTCTGCCCCATGTGCCTGTTTCCTTTGCTGATTTTAATCTACATTCTTTCACCATGAGTATAACAGCTTTGCTGAGTTCTGTCAATTCCAGCAAATGACCGAACCTGGGGCTGATCATGGTAGCTCCAGCCTAAAATCCCAGCAAGTTGGGAGGCTGAGGCGGGAGGATCACTTTCTTATTGCACCCTTTCTTTGCAGCCCAGATGGCTACCTGTATGAGCGTGAGGCCATCCTGGAGTACATTCTGCATCAGAAGAAGGAGATCGCCCGGCAGATGAAGGTGACGGAGATGGGGAGAGGGAGGCACAAGCAGGCAGCAGCTTTGGAGTCTGAGCTCACAGGCAGAGCCATTCGGGGCCCTCCACTCTCAGTTCCTTTTTCCCTCTGGGCCTTTGCCTGTGCTGTTACCTCTTCCTGGTGCACCGTTCCCCTCCTGCTCCCGCTAAATCCTCCTCACCAGAGTGTAGGCCAGGTGCTGCCTCCTCTGAGCTCCTGCCAGTCCCTTGGATCTGCCCCAGTCCCCTCTTCTCTTGGCACTTGGCATAGCTGTAACTCTACATGTGGCTGTCTGGCACATGCCCACTTCCCCCCTAGACTGCTGTTCTTCCCACCCTGTGATCTAGGTTCTTAGTAAAGATGAGCTACACGGGCCGGCACTGTGGCTCACGCCTGTAATCCCAGCACTTTGGGATGCTGAAGTGGGTGAATCACCTGAGGTCGGGAGTTTGAGACCGGCCTGGCCAACAGGGAGAAACTCCGTCTCTACTAAAAATAAAAGTTAGCTGGGTGTGGTGGCGCATGCCTGTAATCCCAGCTACTCGGGAGGCTGAGGCAGGAGAATCGCTTGAGCCCAGGAGACGGAGGTTACTGTGAGCCAAGATCGTGCCACTACACTCCAACCTGGGCAACAAGAGTGAAACTCCATCTCAACAACAAAAAAAGATGTGCTAAATGAATCCACATCACCTCATTTTTCTGGGCCTGTTTCATCATCTGTAAAACGGACTGACAGGGCCAAATCAGAGGCTGCAGCAGGGCACCTGGGAGGTGCACGCAGGTGAACATTCTCAAGGTGTTTACTGGGAGTCTGGTCTGGCCTTCCAAGTGCAAAGCCATTTGATGGGTAGGAGGGGCCCTGTTTACCCCCATGTTTGAGGCACAGTGGGTCTGTCCCCCTCTTCCCCTGCCTGGATTGCTGATGCTCAGGAGACACTACAGGTCACGTCCTTGTTGGGCTCTTTGTCCTGAGCAAGTGGCTCCCCCTGCGCCTATGTCCCCCCGACAACCTGGTGGCCGTGTCGGAGGCCCTCCTCACTCAGCTGTGTGGCTCAGGGTCATCTCGCACTGCAGCACCGACTGGGCACCTGCTGTGTGCCAGGCAAGGCTGAGCACGGGACGTGGCTTCACTCCTCACGTCCGTACTCACTGCCCAGCCGTAGACGTGGGCTCCTCCACATTTCCTTAGGTCTGGAGTCTGCTTCCCCTGTCCCACAGGGCGTCTGGAGCATGCACTGTATAATAAACCTAATTGGCCAGCAGGTGGCATTCATTGAACACTCAGCTGAGTGCCAGGTGAGGCTGTGTGCTTTGAACACTCATCTTGTGTAACCCTTCAGTGAGCAGCCGACGTAGGTCGCCATTGTTAGCCCGTTTTACAGATGAAGAAACTGAGGCCTGGAGAGGTCATAGTGCTCACTCAGGCCACAGAAGTGACAGATGGGCTTTGAGCCCTGGCACTCTGGATGTACAGCACAGTAAGGTTCACACCCGCCCAGGCAGTCATCTCCTCTGACCGCCTCCGTCAGATGGTCCCCTGTGTGGGCCTCAGTTTACCTACCTGTGAAATGGGAAGAAGATACCTGCAACCCCTTAGGGTGGTCCAAACGCAGCCCCACGGGCAGATGCTCAGCCCACTTTCCCCTCCCGGCAGGCCTATGAGAAGCAGCGTGGCGCCAGGCGGGAGGAGCAGAAGGAGCTTCAGCGGGCGGCCTCTCAGGATCACGTGCGGGGCTTCCTGGAGAAGGAATCGGCCATCGTGAGCCGGCCTCTCAATCCTTTCACAGCCAAGGCCCTCTCGGCCACCAGCCCAGGTGACTCGGAGTGGGCTTGCGGTGGGGGGTGGGGGGCGAGCCGCGGGCTGGGCATGTGGGGGTGGGGCAGCATCTGAGTCCCTTCCTTCCCCCACAGATGATGCCCAACCCGGGCCCAGCGTGGGTCCCCCAAGTAAGGACAAGGACAGAGTGCTGCCCAGCTTCTGGATCCCGTCGCTGACACCCGAAGCCAAGGCCACCAAGCTGGAGAAGCCAGTGAGCACCCACGGTGCCAGAGCGCCAGGGGTCCCCCAGCGTCCTCCCCTCCCGCACGGGGACCGTGCACCCTCCACCTGTGCCAGCCCTGCCTGCTGAGCCCTCCTCTCTCTGCCCCTTGCAGTCCCGCACGGTGACCTGCCCCATGTCGGGGAAGCCCCTGCGCATGTCGGACCTGACGCCTGTGCACTTCACGCCGCTCGACAGTTCGGTGGACCGCGTGGGGCTCATCACACGCAGCGAGCGCTACGTGTGCGCCGTGACCCGCGACAGCCTGAGCAACGCCACCCCCTGCGCTGTGCTGCGGCCCTCGTGAGTCACCTGGGAGGGGAGGGAAGGGACCACCCAGGAACCTGTGGGGCGGGACGGCCTTGGGGCCAGTAGGTCTCCTCTGATCGGAGTCTCCCGCCCTCACCCTCACCGCAGTGGGGCTGTGGTCACCCTTGAATGCGTGGAGAAGCTAATTCGGAAGGACATGGTGGACCCTGTGAGTGGAGACAAACTCACCGACCGCGACATCATCGTGCTGCAGCGGGTGAGAGCCCCACCCCTCCCCTTCCCCGAGCTCTCCGAGGCCCCGCCCCCTTCCTCGTGCTCTCCTAGGCCCCGTCCCTACCCTGCCTCCAGCCCTCCTAGGCTCCACCTGCGGTCGCCTCGCCCCCGCCCCAACTCCTACTCCTGAGCCAGCAACCCGCTTCACCTTAACCCGCTTAGGGATCCCCACCACCTCCTGGAGCCCCGCCAGTCACCCCCGGGCCGGCCTCCACCTCCCCCTTCTTTCTACCTCCCCCAGGGCGGTACAGGATTCGCGGGCTCCGGAGTGAAGCTGCAAGCAGAGAAATCGCGGCCGGTGATGCAGGCCTGAGTGCGCACGGGAGACCAAATAAACAAGCTTGGGTGCGCAGAAACGTGGCGCCTTCATTCGCGGCATGGGCGCCCCGGGGACAGGGCAGGCGAGGAAGCCGGGCCGCGCAGGCAGCGCTCCGACAGCACACGCTGGAGTTTGAAAGAGCCGGCTAAGCATATTGAACGTGGTCTCACGTCAAGAACAAAATCTAGCCGGGCTCGGTGGTTCACGCCTATAATCCCAGCACTTTGAGAGGCCGAGGCTGGTAGATCACTTGAGGTCAGGAGTTCAAGACTAGCCTGGCTAACATGGTGAAACCGTCTCTACTAAAAATACAAAAATTAGCTGGGTGTGGTGGCGCATGTCTGTAATCCCAGCTACTCGGGAGGCTGAGGCAGGAGAATCTCTTGAATCTGCACTCCAGCCTGGTTAACGAGCGAGACTCTGTCTCAATCAATCAATCAATCCCTAGAGTCCTTTGTTAGGGCTCCCGGAGTCAGGCCAAGTTTGAAGTACAGGAAATACCCAGGAGCGGGTCTTCCGGGCTGCCATGTGATTCGACCCACAAAGGAAATGAAGTTTTGTGAGAAAGCGCACAGCACCCTGACTGGGAAAGGCGGTCAGGAGCGCCGCCCTGCACCTGTGGCTGCTTGAAGGTGAAAGGAAGAGGAAACCGCAAGTGCAAAGGCCCAGAGGCAGCAACGCACTTTGCAGATTTAAGGAGCAGAGGACGCGCAGGGGAGAGCGGGGGAGACAGGGCAGAGTGGAGACCAGGAACCGGCGCCAGCTGGTGGCCTCAGACTTCACTGGGAATGTAAGGGCTGCCCTTACGGCTTTGTTTTTAATGACCATCAAGTCACAAAAGCAGCTGCTGAGCAGTGTGAAAAACGGCACAGAGACAAGCAAAGATGAAAAGAATAAAGAGCGCGTGCCTGCCTCACTGAGCGATGCTACCTAGGTTCTGTCCTTCCTGGTCTTTATGTGAGCACACATGAGGTTTCAACCAAAGTGAGATAGCAATACACACAGCGTCCTGTTCAGAGAGCAATCCTTTCCCACCCCGGAGGCTGCAGTGCAGTGGTGCAATCACAGCTCACTGCAGACCCCCAAATAGCTATGACTGTTTTCTGTTTTGAGACAGAGTCTTGCTCTTTCCCAGGCTGGAGTGCAGTGGCGTGATCTTGACTCACTGCAACCTCCAACTCCCAGGCTCAAGCAGTTCTCCTGCCCCAGCCTCCCGAATAGCTGGGGCCACCTGCAGCCACCACGCCTGGCTAATTTTTGTATTTTTAGTAGAGACAGGTTTGTGCCATGTTGGCCAGGCTGGGCTCAACTCCTGACCTCAAGTGATCCACGTGCCTCAGCCTCCCAAAGTGCTGGCGTTACAGGTGTGAGCCACCGCGCCAGGTCTGACAGTCTTCTTAGCTAATACCCAGGTGGGATTCAAAGGACTGGGATGTGGCCAAGGGCCGGGAAGTGTCCCTTAACTGTTGTCTGGCTGGGCCACAGCTCATACATCCGGCTGCAGGAAAAGATTTGCCAGGATGGCGGTTTGTGTCATCCTTGCACACTGGGGAGCCCCAAAACCTGGTGTTTGCTCCCCCAGGTCCTTCGAGAACATTCTCTTGGTCCCTAAGAATGCTTATGCCTCATCCCTGAGCCCCACGCCTTTGGCAGCTGCCCAAGGTGCCAGACGTTTCAAGAGCCCTTGCCACCTGGGCTGTCAATCTTCAGGCCCCTTGAGTCCCCGCCACAGCCCTGTGGGAGGGATGCCCATACCCATTTCACAGAATAGGCCATGGGGGCTGACGGCACAACTTGAGCAGTGTCACACATGCTCGAGGGAGTGACAGAAGCCAGGTTCACCCAGGAGCCAGCTGCCTCTGAGACCCCCCCCAGACTCAATCCTGGACTTCCCCCATCCTTCAGACCCTCCCTCCCCCAGAGGCCCACTGACCTGTCCACCTCTGCAAGCTCCCACCCCACCCGTCCATACCCAGAGTTCCGTGTCATGCCCTTTCCTTCAACATCCCAAATCCTCGTCCTCTTTCCCAAACCCCTCAACCATCCGAGTCCTTCCAGTGTTCTCAGCCCTCTATGAACCCCAATCTTGTTCACGTGTTGCACAGATCACCTTCGCCCCAAATAACAACTTGAAGGGTTTCTAATCTTGCACCTGTGTTTTCCCAAAGGAACCTAATTCCCACTCTGTTCACAGACCCTTTGTGGGGGGATGGGGTGGGAGGTCAAGGTCCTGCTCCAATCTTTTTTTTTTTGGGTTGGAATGTCAATCTTTTGCCAGGCTGGAGCACAGTGGCGTGAGCTCAGCTCCTGCCTCAGCCTCTTGAGTAGCTGGGACTACAGCAGCGCCACCATGCCCGGCTCTTTTTTTTGTATCTTTAGTAGAGACAGGGTTTCGCCATGTTGGCTAGGCTGATCTTGAACTCCTGACCTCAAGTGATCCACCTGCCTTGGCCTCCCAAAGTGCTGGGATTACAGGCTGAGTCACTGCACCATGTTCTGTCATTGAAGCTTCTAAGGTACTTGGAGAGGAAGCAAGAGTGGAAACACAGCTTCAGTCATAGCAGAAGAAACAGACAGGAAGACAGACAAACCTTGTCTTTGTTGAACAGTTTCCTTAGATACTGGTCTAAAGTTCAGAGCAAGACCAGGGCGTGGTGGTGCTGATGGCAGGCATGCTCACCAAGGCTCCAGCTTTGAGAGGTTCAAACACAGCGCTTCAGAAAGCTGTCGCAGTTACTCGTAAGGATGTAAAAAAATGAGCGGGGGCCCGGGCGCATTCTCTACTAAAAACACAAAAATCACCCAGGTGTGGGGACGCACCTCTGTAATCCCAGCTACGAGGGAGGCTGAGGCGGGAGAGCTGGTTGAATCCGGGAGGAGGAGGCTGCAGTGAGCCGAGATAGCACCACTGCACTCCTGCCTGTAGAAGAGAGCAAGACCTCGTCTCAAAAAGATAAAAAAATAAAAACAGCAAGATTTATTCTGCCAGCCCACAGGTGAAACTGTAGGATCCAGAAACAAAGCCTTGGTTGCCAGGGTAGGGGAAGGAACTGACCCCGAAGTGGGGAGTAGCGAGAAAGACTCTGGGGGGCAGAAGGAACAGTTCAGAGTTTGATTGGGGTGGTTACGTGACCCTGGTTTGTCAGAACTGGTAGAACTATTCACCAAAAGGAGTGGGTTTTACTGTGTGAAGTTTTTATTTTATTTTTATTTTTTTATTTTTATTTTTTTTTTTTTTT